TATCTGTAATCTTATATCTATAGCCTTATATCTATAATTTTATATCTATAATCATATCTATATCTATAATATCTATAATCATATCTGTAATCTTATATCTATAATCTTATATCTATAATCTTATATCTGTAATCTTACGTCTATAACCTTGTATCTATAATCTTATATCTTTAATCTTATATCTTAAATATTGTATCTTAGTCGTTGATCTCTTGTATCTTTTCTTATATCTTTTGTCTTTATTTTATATCTTTTAATTTTATATCTCTTATCTTTTGTCTTAATAATTTTTATGCGTTTTGTGTTGTGTAACAGCAGTACAAAACGCACATTGTCACGGGGTTGTCAGTGTGTTTTTGTGTGTGCGTGTGTGTGTGTGTCCGCAGCAACTACTTTCAACTCGGGAACCACAAAAACTAGGAAGCTTAAAATTTAGGATAAGTTTCCCAACCACATGTGACCCCGCAAATTTAAATTCAAATTTAAATTCCGTACCCGCAGGTAACACATATGGCCCCGTGAAAGTTTTTTACGGATTAATTAATATCTCGGGAACCACGGAGTTTAGGAGACTGAAATTTTAGGGTAATGACCCCCTGCCTACGTTCAATCTTGCCTATTCAAATTCAGCGTTCCCGCGCTCTTGAGTACCACCTACGGCCTCGTGAAAATTTTGGCGGGTAAACTATTAACTCGGGATAAAGATATTCACCCTTCAAGGTTTCGAATTCAGCTTTCATGTGCTGATGCGTGAAATTTTTAACTGTTTTCCAAGTCCAAACTATTTTTGCATAGACAAAAGTACAAAGCATTGAAAATCATTAATAGGCAATCGTTCAGTGGGCTGAATTGCACAGAACGCATGATCGCACCGGCTAGTCTGGTGTGTGTTGCTGATTTTTTTTTTTGACAGAGTTGAAACAACTATCTGCGACACGACCTGATGGGAATATATTTAAACTAATTGTACCGCAGCGTTCATGTAGTATCAACTTGTTCCGCTAAGGTCGACTTTGTTTAGCGTTTTTTTTTGTAGGGATCCGGTGCACGTCGTATGTTTTGTGATGAGCAACGGCAATCGCTGATTTTTAACATTGAAGACGAGGAGGATTTCACGGAAAAGGTCCAGGCATTAACTTCAGATTTTTAGCTTTTTTTTCGATTTTTTAGCTTTTTTTCCAACTCCAGGATCGTCATGTTTTTTGCGAACCAGTCATTGATCAGCTGTTTCGTTATCTTTCATTCCCTCATACAATACCAGATATGTAATTAATGCTTGAAGAACTTGAGCCATTTTTGTGAGACTTGCAAAAAATGGTTTATATTTGTTAATGGACCGAAACATTTCTTACCAATTATAATAATTTTATTAAAATAATTCTCCTGCTTTTACTAATTTCTTAATTCTCTCGTTTCGGAATTTTCTCTTCGATTCTCCTTCCTATTTTAATATGCTTTTCTATTATATTGTTGTTTTTTGACAACGAATTTTAGGAAGCGCCAACTGGAGACTTATATTGGCTGTTTAAAAAAATATCTGAAATTTTTTTA